AGAAAACAACTCCTTAAAAAACAGAATTGGCCAAATGAAAAGGAGATACAAAAGGTAACTGAAGAAAATCATTCCTTAAAAATTAGAGCTGGGCAAGTGGAAGCTAATAACTCTATGAGACATCAAGAACCAGTCAAGCAAAATCAAAAGAATGAAAAAATAGAAGAAAATGTAAAATACCTCACTGAATAAACAACTGACCTGGAAATAGATAAAGGAGAGATAATTTAGGAATTACTGGACTACCTGAAGGTCATGATAAAAAATAAACAATCAAACAAACAAAAACCCAAACCTGGACAGCATCTTCCAAGAAATTATCAAGGAAAACTGCTCTGATATCCTGGAAACAGAGGGCAAAACTGGAATTGAAAGAATCCACCCCAGGAAAGAGATAATGCCTCTGTTTCACAGGTATTATTAAAGCAATGCCTTTCTGATTGCCAGGGCAATAAGTAGGAATGAGGTAAAGATTTCTAATGCTGGGATATAAGTAGAAATATGAAATTTTTTTTGAAGGCAATTGGGGTTAAGTGACTTGCCCAGCGTCCCACAGCTAGTGTCAAGTGTTTGGTCTGAAGCCGGATTTGAACTGACTCCAGGGCCAGTGCTCTATCCACTGTGCCACCTAGTTGCCCCGAGATATGAAATATTCTTCCAAAGTTATTTCTTAAAGCAACTTTTCACTTGTTGGGAAAAGTATAACATCTTTTTTGACTCTAAATTAGGCAAAATTTTTAAAAATGGCATTTATTCAATTATTTTTTAAAAAATGAATAGTTTCAAAGTTAAACAAAATCTAGCATTTCAAGTGCAAATTTTATCAAGTGTGATAAGTGAGAAAACTAAAGAGTTTTTTTAATAAACATTAATTGATCATATAGATGATATGACTATAAAATTAATATAAAAAGATAGGATCAATTGAATTGTTAACCTACAATACACATGGGATTAAAGTCCTTTTGGAAAATCTCTCTACTAATTTCTTAGATACTTGAGCTCAAAATATTACTTTTTAAAAAAAATTAAGGAAGTAAAGATTCTCTCTGTTTGCATAAACCTTTTTTTTACAAAGCACTCGTTAATTATTATTCTATCATTCAATTGGTGATACAAGTCTCTTTCAATAATGTAAAAACTTCATTTTAATTTGCATGCTTGGTAGACTTTAAACTAATTCCCATAGAGGAAATCATTCATTTGAAACTGGAAAAAATGTAATCTTCAATCAAAATCTTTGCAACAGTTTTGAAACACAACTGCACTTAGCACCTATTTTAAAAATAACTCATGGTATAAAGGGATGGTCGGAGGTATTAATCATGTCATGCCACAGGGTAACATGCTACAAACTCAGATTTCTTTTTGATTTGTGACCAATTTGAGTGGCAGTGAGTATGAAAGATATTTTAAAAGTCAGTGTTACCAGTGATACTACATTCTTGTTTGTGCAGAACACAGAGAGAAAAGCCAGATGGAAAAACAGACCAGGAAGGAATAAGTCCTAGGACCAACAAGGACCTTGAATATCTAGTAGATTTCCCTTCCTAATCTTTACAGAAACCATTCCAGATATACCATAGGCCTAAATCACTCCAAATTTTGTAACTTTTTCTCCTAAGATTGGCATTACGCCCCATTACCAGTTTACTTCTCTAAAATGCTTTTAAACTCCACTTAATATGGTGTTATTCTCAAACTTATTAACATGTTCTCACCTCTGCAATTCAAGTCATGGATAAAAATTATAAACAGTACACAGAGGATAGACCTGTAAGACAACTCATGCCCTCCAAGGTAGGCTTGAGCTATCCTTTGAAATCGAGTAAGTTCTTCAACCTCTGAGATGCTACCAAAATCACCTTAATGTATAGAACTGACCAGTGTCCCCTACTTCCCACGAAATTCATGGTTCTTGGCTGTGTCCTTTGGAAAACTATCTTAAATTAACTTCATCTATTGTCCAGACTAAGAGTATTTAATCACAATCTAACTCTTCCCCTTTTAATTAATTCTGTGATTGTTTTTATGTGTAGCTATTGATATTAACTATACAGTGACCCACTGATTCCTCTTGTAATATTCTATAAGTTCTTGGAGGACAAGGTGCTCCTGTTTCCTCATCTATAAAACATGAAGGTTGGATTAAATGATATCCAAGGTCTCTTTCAGCTCTCAATCTATCCTATGACTAAGTTTTATCTTTCTTATGAACCTTCAAGGACTCTATTTGCATACGATACATATTTAACAAATATTGACTGGCTGTCTTTTTAAAAATCCATTTATAACCTTATTCCAGTATAACAATTATAAATAGTTTAAAAAGGAAAGTTTTCCATAAATTATTTTCACTTTCTGCATGTTATCATTCATCTTTATTTAAAAGCTAAAAACACATTCACTTCAACTCACATAGTCAGACTACAAGTTAAGAGCTCACATTTCAGTGCTAAAAACTGAATTTCTAGTTTCTATTTTGTAGGTAAGTGTTAAATGACACTGATCCATTTAGTTTATGGAAAAAAATAACATATAGGTTGGAGAAATACATAACTATTTTCTCACTATCATGTAAATGATGCTGAAAGGAAAGATACTTTGATGAATTCATGATCTTGCTGAAGTGGGTACTTCTTTCATTGGCAAAAATTAATACATTCTCATCCTGTATGATTCTTATCAAATTTTTTTCCATCATCTTCCATTGAGTCATCCAGTGCAACTTCTTCTGGTCTTTTAATATTTTGTAGCTACCTGTACAACACCCAGGCTGCTCATAAAGATATTCCTCCTAACTCATTCTTGATGAGTTAGGATCATAGGGTTATGCATTTAGAGAAGGAAGGAATAACTCTCTGATTTTACAGATGAGAACCTGAGGTCAATGGAATTCTTGACCAAAGTAACATGGGTATGTATCTGAGGTCCTCAATGATATCTTTTATTGTACACGCATCAATGTTAGTAGGCTCCATTCTGTTACTATCCAAAATTATGATTCTTCTGATACCATAGTGTCTTCATGAGATGCATATTAATATTGTATCCTCGGGAAAAAAACTGGTGTTAAGTATTAGGACTTTTAAGGTAACAAGCAGTCCATGAAAATACTGTACAATTTCTCAGATGTGAATTCTGTTGTTCAATTCTGGGTCCAACTCATCATCCAAATACAGTGGCCTCTCCAAGTTATATGCAAAAATGAATAGAATGGTCTAGTCATTTAACAAGACACTTTTTTTCCATCCACTTTTATTTTACTAGTTTAGATGGTTAGTCTGATTTCTTTTGAATGAGTATGTAGTTCACTGTGGAAGCTTTGAAATATTTTAAGTCTTGAAATAATCAATACAATCATCTGCAAAGAGGAGCATCTTTAGAATTTTAACATTGCTTGGGAAAACCTCTTCAGCTAGGGCATCCTCCATTATAAGGGTGGGGGTGTGTGTGTGTGTGTGTGTGTGTGTGTGTGTGTGTGTGTGTGTGT